TCCAATCCTTTTTTTATTTCATTTTGAAACACAGTCTCATTGAGTTGTTGAGGGTCCCAGGAAATAGCTCAAGCTAGCCTTGAATTTTCTTTTTTTTTTTTTTCTCTCCTTCTCCTTTCTTTTTCTTTTTTTCTTCTTTTAGTACTGTGAATTGAACTCTGAGCCACATCCCCAGCCATTTTTACTTTTTGATTTTTGAGACAGGGTCTCACTAAGTTGCTCAGGGCCTTGTGAAGTTGCTGAGGCTGGCTTTGAACTTGTGATCTTCCTACCTCAGCCTTCTCAGCCGCTGGGATTACAGGTATATACCACCACACCCCACTTGGCCTTGAACTTTCTATCAGTCTCCCAAGTCACTGGGATCCCAAGCATGCACCACACACCCTGTCCGTTCTGAGTGCTTCTATTTCACATACTTGGCGTGTAGTGTCTACATACAGACACAGTGCTTTCATTTCCTTGCTATGATGACTCTGGTTTGTTTTGACTAAAATGTAGAAGCTGCTGGGTCAAATGGCGGTTCCATTCCCAATTTTCTTAGGAAACTCCACACTGCTTTCCATAGTGGTTGCACCAATTTGCAGTCCCACCAGCATCATATGAGTGCACCTTTTCTCCACACCCTCACCAACATTTATTGTTGCCTGTATTCTTGATGATTGCCATTCTGACAGGAGTTGAGATGAGATCTTAGAGTGGAATGCAGGGATGCTTACTCCCTAGGATACCTGTGGTTACCATATTACAAACCTACAATCTCCAAAATTATTTTCAAATTTTTAAAGGTTTTTTTTTTTGAGGCAAGGTCTTGCCATGTTACCTAATCTATATATATTTATATATCTATATCTACATACAGATAGATATAGAGATATAGATAGATATAGAGATATAGATAGATATAGAGATATAGATATAGGTATATAGTGGGTAGACACAACAATTTGTTTTTATATTTTTACATGCAAGGTGCTGAGGATGGAACCCAGTGCCTCCCATGTGCCAGGCAAGCGCTGCACCCCTGAGCCCCAGCCCCTGCCCCAGCCCAGCCCCTGCCC